TGCCAGTTGATGGAAAGGGTAACTCATATATACAAAATTTACTTATTTTCATCTGGCATTCTAATTCAGGTAGTAGGCAAGAATTGGCTCGTTAATCAATTTTTCTTATCCAAAACCGAGCAGGCTGGTATTCAGTCATTGCTACTTTGTTCCTCTCTCTCCACTTTTCAACAGATATTAAACTGGGATCAGCTTCTGCCTATTTAGGTAAAAGGCCAACATAGCATTTGCCTTCTTGATCACCTGCTCACTAGCAGGTCTACCTTCAGGTGACTGGTGCACAGGATGCCCAGGTCTCGTTGCACATTCCTCTCTCAATTTATCTCTCAATTTATTGCAGATATTAATTCTCCTTCCCGATTTTGCTACTGCAGCGGATAACCTCACATTTAAATGGACTTTATACAATCATTGTCAGATGTTCAATGTTCAGCACCATTTCGGACTCCTTAGATACTGAAGCAATCCATGTTCAACAAGATCCAGACAGTTTCCAGGCGTGGGCATTGGCTTTTGCAGTGGTAGCTCACCAGCTCCTTCGAGGGCAACTAGCGATGGGTAATAAATGCCAACCTGCCAGCAACACCCATGTCTCAAGGGTGAATAAAAAAAAGTTATACTGAATCTGCCACACATTTCTCTATTGATTCAATTCGTCCAAATCACACGAACATCTCTGCATCCTCCTCCCAGCTCAACCTCCCAACCAATCTGTATCATCTGCAAGTTGAGATATTACATTTAGTTCTTATCCAATCATTAATGTTATAAAGACTTTAAGATACAGAAGCAAAATTAGGCCATTGGCCCATTGCGTCTGCTCTGCCATTCGAGCACAGCCGATATTTCTCAAACCCATTCTCCTGTTTTCTCTCCATAAGCCTTGATCTTGCCAAGCAAAACTGCCAAGTGAACCTGCAAGTTAACCATAAGAGAATCCTGAACTAGGGCTCCCAAGTCCCTTTGTGCTTCAGATTTCCAAAGTCTTCCCCCATTTAGAAAATAGTTTATACCTCTACTGTTCCTACCAGAGTAGGTAACCTCACACTTTCCCATTGTCTTCCATCTGCCATTTCTTTGCCCACTTCTCCTAGCATGTCCACGTCTCTCTGTAGCCTCTCTGCTTCCTCAACATTTGTCCCTCCATGTATCTTTTTATCTGCAAATTTACCAAATGTCCTTAGTTCCTTCATCCAGATTGTTTATGTATAAAACAGACTGCCATTTAGAAAAAAAAAGCCATTTATTCCTACTATTTGTTTCCTACCTGCCGACGAGGCTTTCATTAATCTGAAAACACTACCCCCAAACCCATATGCTTTGATTTTACACACTAACCTCGTGGGACTTTATCAAAAGCCTTTTCAAAGTCCAAATAAACCTTATTTACTGGCTTCCCTTCACCCACTCAACTAGTTACATTCTCAACAAATTCTCGAAGATAGTCAAACATGATTTCCCTTTCATAAATCCATGCTGACTCTGCTGGAGCCTGTCACTGTTTCCCAAGTGCTCAACTATCAAATTTTTTCTAACATTTTCCCTATTACTGATGTCAGGCTGACTGCTCTAGAAATCTGTTTTCTCTCTGCCTTCATGTTTTAAATAGGGGGCTTCATTAGTTACATTCCAATCTGTAGGAACTGTTCCAGAGTATACAGAATCTTGGAAGATGACCACCAACGCAACCAATATTTCTAGAGCCACTTCAAGTACACTAGCATCCAGATTATTAGGCCCCAGGGATTTATCAGTCAGTCTTCAATCCCATCAATTCCCCAATACCATTTCTCCACCATTCATTTTCTTCAATTCCTCCCTGTCACGAAACCCTGTGTTCTATTTCTGGTTTGTTGTGTCTCCTTTGTGACTATAGAACCAAAGTATGTATTTAGTTGGTCAGCCATTCCTTTATTCCCTATTGAAAGTTCACCTCTCGCTGGCCTCCTTTGTCTTTACCACTATTTTTCTCATCACATACCCATTGAAACCTTTACAGTTTATCTTGTGTTACTTGCAAGCTTAGTCTCATACTCTACTTTCCCTTTCTTAATTAATCCCCTTGTCCTGCTTTGCTGAATTCTGAACTGCTCCCACTCCTCAGGTGGGTTTTTTTCAGGCCAGTTTATACTTATTCCTTTGATTTCCCTTGTGAGCCATAGTTTGGCCACCTTTTCCATTTTGCTTTTGCATCAGAGGGGAATGAACAATGTTACAATTCACCCAAGTGCTCATGAATTCATCATTGCCTTTCCACAGTCATCCCTTTAAGTAATATCCCCCAATCTATTATAGCCAACTCACATCTCATGTAGTTTCCTCCATTTAGATTAAGGACTCTAGTTTCAGAAGCAACATTGCTCTCCATGAGAAATTATGGTCACTCAGCCCAAAACAGCCTCAACTAGACAGCCAATTATTCATTTTTCATTACTCAATACCTAGTTTCAGATGGCCTGTTCTCTAATTGGTTCAATGTATTGGCCCAGAAAACCATCTGGTAAACACTTTAGGAATTCCTCCTCTACAGTAGTGTTATTAATTTGATTTGCTCAATCTATATGCAGATTAAAGTAATCCATAATTGCAGGTGGTCCCCATTCTATCAGCCTCCGATTTCCTGTCTAATGTCATTTCCAACATCACCCCTACTATGTACAAATCCCATTAATGCTTTTTGCCCCTTTGTGTTTCTCAGCTCTACCCATACTGATTCCACATGGTCAGAGCTAATATCTTTCCCTCACTATTGCATTAATTTCCTCTTTAACCAGCAGCGCAACTCCAGCACATTTTCATTTTTGTCTGCCCTTTCTAGGTATTCAGTTACCATTCCTGATCCACTGTAGACATATCTCCATAATCCTAACTATCATATGTTTTCATCTACTAATGCAATTAATTTGTTAATTTATTGCACATGCTCTGCACACCAAGACACAAAGCCTTAAGACTCATCTTTCTAAGATTATTTGACCCATTCCTATTCTTTTTCACTATGGCCCTGATTAACCCTGGCCCTTGATTTCTTTGCTTTTCAATTTTCTTATTCCACTTTGTCTTTTATTTGTGTCCTCAGTTCCACTTCCTCCAACTCCTTGCATAGGTTCCCACCGCCCTAGCAAATATTCCCAAGGACATCAATTCTGGTCTTGCCCAGGTGTAATCCATCCAGTTTGTATTGGTCCTACCTCTCCAGAAACCCAAAAACCCACCCCTTGACCCACCTCTTCAGCCATGGTCATCCAATATATCCTGCTATTATACACACCAAGTAGCACGTGGCACTGGTAGTAATCTAGAGATCGCTACTTGAGGTCCTACTTTTCAACGTATTTGCAAACTCCCTATATTCTGCTTTTTGGGCTTCATCCTTCTTTCTTTACCAATGTCATTTGTACCAATGTGTACCACACCAAACTATCCTCATGTTTGTGGGCAACAGTATATGTTGAAACAATGTAGAACATTGCACAAAGTACAAACATTGTCACGAGAGAAAGCGTGCGCTAAAATAAAAATGTGAACCATGTCCTTTGATGGAAGGATTCATAGTAGCAAAGTACACATTTAAAACATGTTGTAAACAGAATGCTGAGAAACTCAGGTCTGTCTACATGACAGAGAAACAGAGTTAATGTCAACAGAGTTTACCCTTGCACTATTCTCCCAGACTGCTTTAGACAACTCTTGCTTCATACCTCTGTAATTGGCTTTCTTTAACTTGCAGACACTGGCTTGAGACCCAAGATACTCTCCCTCAGACAGAATTTGAAATTCTACTACATTGTGACCGCTATGTTGTACTGGATTCTTAACTACAAGATTTTGTTTTTGTTCCTCCCAAGCACCTTATAGTTCTGAAGAGGAGTCATACTGGACTCAAAATGTTAACTCTATTTCTCTCTCCACAGATGCTGCAAAACCTGCTGAGCTTCTTCAGCATCTTTTGCTTGTTTCAGATTTCCAGCATCCACAGTATTTTGCCTCTATTTAAAAAGTGATAACTGAGCAAATAATTTTAAGCTAGGAAATAGAAACAAACAAAACCCATTGTATCAAAGATGTCTTAACAGAAAAGACAAGGAACCTTGCAATTAAGGCCTACTGGTCCAACAAAAAAAAACTTTTGAATAGATAACCTAATTTTCATTGGTGTTTTTTTTAAAGGCTATTAAAGGTGCACAGCTCCAGATTGAGAGGGGAATTAGTGTTAACTACAATCAAACTTGCTAGGTGTTCTGACAAAGGCTCACCAAACTAAAATATTAACTGTTTCTCTCTCCACAAATGTTGCCAGACTTGCTGACTTTCTGCTCCACTTTGCGTTTTTGGTTCAGATCTCGAGCATTCACAGCTCTTTTGTTTATTTTGTTGCTTAAGCTAAAATTTTAAACAGAAACTTTTGGAACCTTTACAAATCAGTTATTTGCCTTAAACAAACCAGTTTCTTTTTTTAAAAAAAATTTAAAGTGTGATTGTTCACCATTTTTAATTTTGAACAGATACAGCAGTAAACAGTCTTTCACTATTTTGTGATGTGGATCAAATAAATTTCAAAGTGATCTGCTTCTCCCAGGTCAAGTTGCAGTAAGCCTAAGACTGCCTACAGTGCGCTACCTAACATTCTGTTCCTCATGATTATTTTGGGTTACTTTCAAGCCAGCGTTGACTGCATTGTTCCTCCAAAGAGCTCCCTGCTGGTCATCAGTGGGTAAGATCACCAGCTAAGGGTCTTTCTGCGAAAGTATAGTGAGGATCTGTTAAGACCAGAGGCCCTCCCATTGCCTTAATGGGAATATAAATGATTACATGGGTCTAAATTCAAGATGTGGGGCATGACTGCAACACAAACTAAAGCTAATGATGTTTGCAAGGCATGTCACAACATTGTTTTGTAGCGTTATAGTAAAGATATTTAGAAATTCCCTCCCTCTATCACAAAACACAGTCAAAAAAGTCTGCACCTACAGAGAAGCAATACTTTAATAGCTACATACCATTTTCAATTCTAAGTAATCCTGACGTTCCTTTCTCGTAGCTGACAATTCTGGGCACATGATGCTTCTTTCACATTCACCATTCAGCTTCGTTAGTTTGGAGAAACTATTTAACAAACAAATAAATACATGAGTCAAAACACCAATTCTACAGCTAATCAACACCTATGGTGTTTAGTGAATGATTTTTTACAAGTCTTGGAATAAAGTCAATTTATTTCTGAAGAATAACCTCTTCGGCAATAAGTTACAAATTACATACAAGGCTTCAAATTACATACAAGAACTTCCAAAAGTAGACTCAGAAATTTTTGTAAGAGGTGTATTGCTATGTAATTAAAATATGGTATTTCATGCACAATATAGATCTGAAGAAGGGTCTCTGAACTCAAGATGTTAATTGTTTTCTCTCCACAGATGCTGCCAGACCAAGAGTTCCTGCAACATTGTTTTTAGTTCAGATTTCCAGCATCTGCAGTTCGTTTTACAGTACAGATCAATTTTGTTAAATGCAGTAACATGACCCTCTAGAATGCCTCATTCCATGTAGAGGCAAACTGTATAAAAAAAATGTAATTGTTTGTTAGCCAGACTTAAAAATACTCATTCCAACTTCAGTACACTATTGCAAGAGGATCTTAAACTGTGGGCCTTTACCATTGAATCAGTGTTCTTTGTCAACACAAGGAGATAAAAATTATGACAGAATCAGGACCAGGTTCTTAAGTTTGCTCTCCTTTGATATACTCAGTATCAAGAATTCTCTTCGACTTGAGTACACTCAACAACTGAGCATTTGCAGTCCTCAGGCATAGAGAATTCCAAATATTCACAACTACAAATGGTCAATATCTTATTGAGGTTGTGGTCTCATTTGTGGATTCCTTCAAGCAAGAGGAATTTAATCCTGCCAAGCCTCTTAAGGAATTTGTATGTTTCAATGAAATTACTGCTCAGGAAATGTAGGGTATCCAGAAACAAACTGGAAATACTTTAAAAAGTCTGACAATATACCCCCATTTGAAAAAACAACTTCCATCATACAAATAAACATGAGCCATAAGTTAATCTCGTCTTTTTTTCTTAAGAAAGAAGCAAATGCTTTAGACAGTGACAATAACTTTAACTTCAGATAAAATCTATATTCAGTGTCTTAAGCTTATGTGCTATTCAAAATGTCAAAAGTCACATGACACCAGGTTGTAGTCCAACAGGTTTATTTGGAATCACAAGCTTTCAGAGTGTAGCCCCTTTATCAGGTCAAGTGAAAGAGAAGCACAGAACACAAACTTAATGGGCAGAGAGATCAAAAGATCATACAAATGGCTACACTCCAAAAGCTTGAGATTTCAAATAAACCTGTTAGACTATACACACAGGGTCACTGGACCCGAAACGTTAACTCTGTTTTCTCCTCCACAGATGCTGCCAGACCTGCTGAGCTTTTCCAGCAACTTTGTTTTTGTTCCCGATTTACAGCATTTGCCATTCCTTTTGGTTTTTATTCTGTTAGACTATAACCTGGTATCATGTGACTTCTGACTGTCTACTGCAGTCCAACACCAGCACCTCTACGTGGTTTCAAAAAGCTGCATTCCCATTAAGTTAATTGCTAGTGTGTTGGCAGTAATTACAGCAATGACAGAAATTTTCTACATTGAAAACTCTAATACCAGTTGCAAAGAAAATAAGTTCAATAAAAATCCCCTCAAGAAGAAACAAATAAGCCTTGATACAGTTCCATCATGGATCACATTTCTTGCAGCAGTCACTATCATAGAATCCCTACAGTGTGGAAACAGGCCATTCTGCCCAACAAGTCCACCCAGACTCACCACCCTACTCTACCCCTGTAACCCTGCTTGTCCCATAGCTAATCCACGTCACTTGCACATTTTTAGACTATGGGAGGGAACCTGAGCACCTGAGGAAGCCCATGCAAACACAGCGAGAATGTGCAAACCCCAAACAGACAGCCAGTTGTCCAAGGCTGGAATCGAACCCAAGTCCCTGGTGCTGTGAGGCAGCAGTGCTAACCACTGAGCCCGTGTACCACCTGTTCCATCTAGTTCCATTATTACTTTCAACAGCCTTCAAATTGGCTGATAAGGCACCAGTTTCTGTTTCACAGCACAATTCATCAAGATTTTTATTATCCTTGGTGATATTGTTTGCTTGCTAACATTTTGTTCTGCAAGCTGCAGTGTTTCCCTTCTTGGTAGGCCAGTTTTCCCATGTATTTTCCACACTCCATATTCATCTGATGGATACCTTTGCAAGCTTCTGCTTCTTCCAACTCAAAAGCTTGAGAAAAAATTCTCAATTTGAAATTGCACACTAAGAATTGCAGTGAAGGGACAAAGATTGCTGAAAACATGAGTATACAGTACAAGGATTCCTTAAAGGGCAATTGGGCTGCAATTGAAAAACAAAAAGGATCAAAATATATTATTTAAAAAAACTCAAACCAAGCATCATTATATTTTCCTTTTGAAATGTTATGCCCACCCTACCGCATTGTCTCCATCCTTACCTCTCAATTTGCAAGTCTCCCCCTCACTTTTCACCTCATTTTCTCTGCAGAAATATGACTATGATGTTATTGCCCATTTCAGTTACCACTGGAGTACTCTCGTGGCTTCCTAACCACACTGCAGATCACCACCAACCTAGACTCTCACCTCACCTTACCCCCCACCATTCCATTCACCTCATCCTACAATCTTACACCTGGTCATTTCACTATCTCCTCCCTTCTGTTAACTTTCTGAAGGTACCTGCACAGAGGACATCAGTCATAAAGAGGCAATCTGGCAACTTCAAAGTTTTCCTTTTGTTTTGAAATATTCTATTTAGAGATCATCTGGGAACACAGCATAATGTTCCCTCGCAAAATCATGAATCCTCATAACTCTATCCAGTATAGGGGAATAAAGATGTTCTTTATAAACAAGTTTTAGGGGTACAAGCACTGAAACTAATGCTCAATTTCCCTCAAGAACTATGAGCAATATTTACATCAGACTAAACTTCAAAACTCACATGCTGAATTCTTCTTCCCCTACAAATTGCATGTCATTGAAAACTAAAATTAGATTCTGAAGGCATTTGTGGAGTTGACAAGCAGATCAAATTTTACCTTGCAGGTATCCCTTTTTGGCTCCAGTAAATCTGCAAATTAAGAATGTGAAGTTTGTTTAATTGCAAAGAATGAATTATTACAAAAAAACATTGAAAAGGAGATTGTTTCATTAAAGTGGCATGTCTTCTGCCACCTTATTACAAGGAGTCTACACCATTGCTGTTGTCAATGTGTGCCTGGAACTAGAGTTGGTGCCCACTCTGCCCAGGAACCAGAAGTTGGTGCATGTGCAGTGTCAATAATGGTTGACCACATGAGGAACACACACAATTGCATTTGGCATTCCAGTGACTAGATCAGGACTCTGCTCGTTATTCTGGTCAGTGCCAGGCTTGCCCCCCTCCACTTGAATTGTAAACAACCAGCACTGGAACAAGGCAGCGAGTGAAGAAGGTGAAGAGGGAGGGAGAGAGAGAATTGGGGCTGTCACATTCCTAGAATTTTACTGTAATTGATTTAGAAGTGTAAAAATGGTTCATTTTATTCAATGGTTTGTTAGAGGCAGTAACCGGTGTGTTTCAATGTTTCACAAACAGTGCAGCACACGCTCTGCATCTGCTTGGCCACTAAGTGCAGTTATAGTGGTAGCAAACACTCAATTCAATACCTGAGAATTTTTATAAATAAAGGTACAGTTAAAAAGGTACTGATTGTTACATAATTATAACATAACAAACAATTTGGTACCCTAGACAGTAAATCCAGATGTCCTCCAAATGACTGTCAGCCACATTAAGTCCCCACTTAATGGCTGCAATTGCTTTCCTGAAAAGCACAACTTTAGGGTAATCAGTGATACAAGGACTGTACATAGGCTCTGTAGAACTTGTCAGAAGAAAAAGTATGTAATATTTTAATGACATGTTTAAGTTGAAATGTTTTATATTGCTGTAAGTCCCGTACTGGTAGGTGAAATAACTTAAAGATAGAATAAATTTAAAAACGTAAAAGAAATGTCAACTTTGTTCTTACCTCCCACACATTTAGTTCTGCATGCTCACCAAAGATCCCACTTCCTGAACACATGCTCCAACCAGTGAAGGGGGCGGCTCTGAAGGGACGGCACAGTGGCTAGCACTGTTGTTTCAGTGCCAGGGTCAGGCGTTCAATTCCACCCTTGGCAGACTGTCTGTGCGGAGTTTGCACATTCTCCCCTTATGTGTGGATTTCATCTGGGTGCTGTGGCTTCCTCCCACAGTCCAAACATGTGCAGGTTAGGAGGAATGGTTATGCTAAATTGTCCATAGTATCTAGGGATGTGCAGGATTACAAAAGATAGAGTAGGGCAGTGGGTTTGGGTGGAATGGTCTTGAAAGGGTCAGTGTGAACTCAATGGGCTGAATGGCCTGATTCCACGCTGTAGGGATTCTACGATTCTATGGAGTATCAAGAGATAGAAAAAACAGCTTCAACTTGTAGATGGCAAGGTGCTAAAGTCAGCAGCAAGCAGCTGTAAACTGACAACCAGAGGGTCAGCACGGACAGAGGCAGAGGCTGCTCTACAATGGACTTGCTATTAGTAGTTTGCATTTATTGAAATTAGACCTTCACTGATACACTTACCTTGTCAAAATCTGAAGTGTCTAATTCTGACTTCAGATGTTTGCATTCCTGATATAATTTTCTTTCTACAATTTAGAATGATTGATAAACAATATTACAATATTGCTAAATAATAATGTAGATAATACAGGAAAAGAGTTTTCATGTTGTTATTTCCCAAACAAAAAAACACTACATTTTTGGCACATCTGAAGAAAAATCATTTTCTTCCATCACCAACTATTCAAATACCTATTTGATTTGAGACTTTGGATTCCCCTAAATTAACCTGCTGCACATCCCTGTTGCAATAGCTTTCAGCGTTTAAAAATTGAAAATGGACAAGCTGGCAGAGGTTCCTTTTACAGAGAAAAATATGAATTAGAAGCAATGAATGTCAAGCTTTGAGTTGCTGTGCCATTCAATATTATCACACTGCTGTGTTTGTGGTCTGAATTACACACGCTCATCTACGTCCACCTTGAAAATACTGAAGGACCCTGCCTTCTAAGGCAGTGCTCCAAAATTACACAATCATGAAAGATTAAAAAAAATCTCCTAAAATCTGTCCTAAGAGGATGATCCCTAACTTTAAAAAACATGTCCCTGAATTCTGAACTCATCCACAAGAAGAAACATGTCCACCTTGTTAAGGTCATTCCAGATACAATACTCTTTAACCAAGTCACCCATCATTTGTCTAAACTCCAACTCAGAACATTCTGAAAATGGGTCACTGGACTGGAAACATTGTTTTCACAGAAACTGCCAGACCGGCTGAGTTTTTTTCCAGCAATTTCTGTTTTAGATCATTTGTTGTACTTGCATATTAAACTGAGAGATTCATGCACTAGGGCACCTAACTCCTCCTGCATCTTGCAATCCTGCAGTTGTCTGCTCAAATAATTCTTCTATTGTTCTGGCCAAAGTGAAAATTTTGCATTTTTCCACTTCATCATTCACAACCTATCAGTCTGCATCCTTGTTTGTCATCCACACAGCATCCTTTCCAATCTGAAATAACAAGGTGCAGAGCTGGATGAACACAGCAGGCCAAGCAGCATCAGAGGAGCAGGAAGGCTGACGTTTCGGGCCTAGACCCTTCTTCAGAGATGGGGGAGGGGAAAGGGGTTCTGAAATAAATAGGGAGAGAGGGGGAGGCAGATAGAGAAGATAGGTGGAGAGGAGACAGTCAGGTCAAAGAGGCGGGGATGGAGCCAGTGGAGGTGAGTGTAGGTGGGGAGGTAGGGAGGGGTAGGTCAGTCCAGAGAGGACGGACAGGTCAAGGGGGCGGGATGAGGTTAGTAGATAGGAGATGGGGGTGGGAGGAAGGGACGAGCTGGGCTGGTTTTGGGATGCGGTAGGGGGAGGGGAGATTTTGAAGCTTGTGAAGTCCAATAACACCACCCCCGTCCGTGACACCACCCATGCCCTCCACCGCCTCCAGAACTTCCAATTCCCTGGTCCCCAACACCTCATCTTTACTATGGACGTCCAGTCCCTATATACCTGCATTCCCCATACAGATGGCCTAAAGGCCCTCCGCTTCTTCCTGTCCCGCAGGCCCGACCAGTCCCCCTCCACTGGCACCCTCATTCACTTAGCCGAACTTGTCCTCACCCTCAACAACTTCTCTTTTAATTCCTCCTACTTCCTACAAACAAAGGGGGTGGCCATGGGTACCCGCATGGGCCCAAGCTACGCCTGCCTCTTCGTAGGTTACGTGCAACAATCCCTCTTCCGTACCTACACCGGCCCTAAACCCCACCTCTTCCTCCGTTACATTGATAACTGAATCGGCGCTGCCTCGTGCTCCCACGAGGAGCTCGAACAGTTCATCCACTTCACCAACACCTTCCGCCCCAACCTGAAGTTCACCTGGACCATCTCCAATACTTCTCTCTCCTTCCTGGACCTCTGTGTCTCCATCTCTGGCACCCACCTAGAAACCAATATCCATTTCAAGCGCACCGACTCCCACAGCTACCTAGAATGCTCCTCCTCCCACCCACCTTCCTGCAAAAATGCTATCCCCTATTCCCAATTCCTTCGCCTCTGCCACATCTGCTCCCAGGATGAGGCATTCCACTCCCGTACATCTCAGATGTCCTCATTTTTCAAGGACCGCAACTCCGCCGCCCCCCCCCGCCCTCCAGTGGTCAAGAACGCCCTTGACCGTGTCTCCCACATTTCCTGCAACTCATCCCTCACACCCGCTCCCCGCAATAACAACAGAATCCCCCTCATCCTCACATACCACCGCACCAACCTCCGGATCCAATGCGTCATCCTCCGACACTTCCGCCATCTGCAATCCGACCCCACCACCAAAGACATTTTTCCCTCCCCACTCTTATTTGCTTTCCGGACGGGCCACTCTCTCTGGGACTCCCTTGTCCACTCCACACTCCACCACACCCGGCACTTTTCCCTGCAACCGCAGGAAGTGCTACACCTGCCCCTACACCTCCCCCCTCACCCCCATCCCAGGCCCCAAGAAGACTTTCCGCATCAAGCAGATGTTCACCTGCACATCTGCTAATGTGGTATACTGCATCTGCTGTTCCCATTGTGGCCTCCTCTACATCGGGGGAAACCAAGCGGAGGCTTGGGGACCGCTTTGCAGAACACCTACGCTCGGTTCGCACGAAACAACTGCACCTCCCAGTCGCAAACCGTTTCAACTTCCCCTCCCATTCCTCAGACGACATGTCCATCCTGGGCCTCCTGCAGTGCCACAATGATGCTACGCGAAGGTTGCAGGAACAGCACCTCATATTTCGCTTGGGAACCCTGCGGCCCAATGGTATCAATGTGGACTTCACAAGCTTCGAAATCTCCCCTCCCCCTACCGCATCCCAAAACGAGCCCAGCTCATCCCCACCTCCCTAACCTGTCATTCCTCCCACCTATCCCCTCCTCCCACCCCCATCTCCTACCTGCTAACCTCATCCCACCATTACCTATCCCCTCCCTACCTCCCCACCTACACTCACCTTTACTGGCTCCATCCCCGCCTCTTTGACCTGTCTGTTTCCTCTCCACCTATCTTCTCCTCTATCCATCTTCCATCCGCCTCCCCCTCTCTCCCTATTTACTTCAGAGCGCCCTTCCCCTCCCCCATTTCTGAAGAAGGGTCTAGGCCCGAAACGTCAGCCTTCTTGCTCCTCTGATGCTGCTTGGCCTGCTGTGTTCATCCAGCTCTACACCTTGTTATCTCAGATTCTCCAGCACCTGCAGTTCCTGCTATCTCTGAATCCTTTCCAATCTGTTTGTTTGTTATCGGTATATTTATCTGTCAGGTGTTTGTAACATCTTTCTCACAACAGACTTCAAGATATTTGGCCTATATAGTTTCCAGCTTGCTGCCTCCCTCCCTTCTTGAATTGAGGGGCTATACTTACTTTCCTGTCTGATGGAACCTTTCCAGAATTGAACAAATTTTGAAAAATTAAACACATCCAGCCCCTCAGTTACCAACTTATGGCCGTAAGTGGTACTGAACTTGCAGCCCAAGATTACCAATAGTGCTTTAAGCTGTGAAACAGACTTCAATAAGCCTAGTCACTTGTGTGCCAGCAGCAGAGACTGCCTGCAAAGTCTAATAGATTAAACACAGCTCAAGAATTAAACAAAAAAGGTACTGAACAGAAGGGAACCTGCTACGCTTAAAGTCTGTTCTACACATAAGTGTAATTGGGTAGGTCGGACAAAATTTGTGTCTTGCTAGCATCACGCACACCTTAACAAAAGAAAACATAAGCATTTGCTCAAGCCTAACCCAGATTTCAATGAGACACACACAGACACGGTCTTCAGCGGTATGGAGTACGCCAGATAGGTAAAGCATCTAGTTGAAGAAGTGAATGACAGTGAAGCTGAAGTTTCTTGTACGGTAGCAAATAGGATTGTTCAAAATAATGGTTCATCAACCTCCAACACCAGGGTCCTCTCCTTCCCACTGTTGCTGTTCCAACCATCACAGATTCAGTATCCACAGGAGCAACAAGACAGGGAGATAGGAAAACTACATGACAGATTCTGTCACTGGAGGGGGTCAGTCCAGTCTTTCTAAAGTACTGGTTGTATACCTCAATGCTCCGCTGTCAATTCATAATCTCAGCAATGTCAGTTTAACTGACAGTTGAGAGTGGGAAAGACCTTCAGGCAACATTGTGGCTGGCCATCTTTAAAATAATATGGAACTTAAACTTCTACAAGCAGAAACTGCTAGTCAAGTCAAATTAGTTGCTTCAGAAAGTACAAGAATATGGACATTTTGTGTTATTGAATGGGGATAAAGGAAATCAAAAAGAGGTTAGGCATACATGATCTGCTATCCCCATGGTGAGCTTTAGTGAGAGAGTGGGGGCATTTAATCAGGTAGAAAATGGCTGGAGAGAGTATGGAGAGTAGCAACTTGGTCTCAGCCAAGCACGATCATCGAAAGATGTGGAGGCTAGGCCACTGATAAATTTTTAAGATATTAAAGGCATCAAGGATTATGGCAAGGATGCAGGACTGGTGTTGGGATGCAGGACTGGTGTTGGGATGCAGGA